ATTGGTATTAATGAACTTTATTTTCTCTGAATTCTGAATGTAGAGAATGTTGTTTTGAATTTTGAATTCTGAAAATTGTCAAATATTCATTTTAGTCGGGTATATTAGAATTTTTATTTTTTTTTTAAAATATCAATAGAAAATAAAAAATTGTAAGGTTCTTCTTTAAAATATAAGAGGAAAAGAATACCCATTCTCTTTTACTCTTAAAAGATAAAAGTTAAAAGAGAAAAAACAAACATAAAAACATCCATCTCATGCTTATAAAGTTAGGTTAAACCACATACAAAATGCTTATCTATTTTTTTATTTTTTTAATATTTATTACTACTACTACTATTATTATTATTATTATTATTTCATTAAAAAAAGAATTCTACCGTCGGCCAGGCAATTATAAATCATGGAAGATGCATGGCAAAGCTAATTTGGTCTTTCCCAGCCCTTTCAACGTCATCAGCAGCATTAATTGCCGATGAAATCAAAATCATGGGCCATCTCTCAAATTATTAGCTTGTGACTCTGTGCTTGGAATGATTGAAAGAAAGCTTCTGGCAGTAGAATCCCAATACGCCATCCATTAAACCTGTGAGATGATCAAGGAACTACAAGACAGAGGAAGAGAACTACTCGTTTTTTGTGATTTCTTTTCATCTTGGAATTTTCTAAGGGCTGGCTGCCCTACATTTCCCACTTGAAAACGGAAGCCCTGACCTGAGACTGAGAGGCCGGCCTCCTCTCCTTTTTCATTCCCACTCTCTCCGTTTTATCTTCATTTCTTTTTTCCGTTATGGTCGCAATCAATTGTGCAAGATAAAGTCACAGTCGACACTTTGGTGATTTCCACTAGCTATACTTTCTTTCTCTGGGTGACAAATGACAAACAAAGCAGGTGTTATGCACTATATCACTGCAGATGGTCGTGCTGGGTGACTTCTTATGGGTTTCAGTCTCCACCTCATCATCAATCAAGTGTTTTCAATCTGTGGGTCATCTTCCTTCCTTTTTCGAATTCCATCCGCCTGTTTGGATGAATAAAATTTCCCAACTGGGTATTTTATTTGCTTTGTGATGACTGATGAGCCTTCCCAGCTAAGTGACTTGCCGCGCCACGCCCAGACATTCACCAACCGCATAGATAATAAATTGCTTGCAACTCCTTTTAATTATTGCTTAAAACGAGTTAATTAAAGATAAGCTCAAGCTGCTGTTGACTCCAGTGAAAAATCTGTGAAGAAAACTGGTGAAAATTAAAGTTGCCGAGTAATTGACCATTTTGATATTTCATCTGTTCATCCCTTTACTCTGATAAGTTGACTTGTTTCCCATGGACTCGACTGGATCAGTTTCGCTGGATTCCTACATCCAGCCATGTCGTCTTTTTTTTTTCTCCAGAGAAAGGCCGCCATTTACGACTGAACTTGAGGTAGATACCACTTGTTTTGTGATTTGTTTTCTCACATGCATCGCCAACAGGACTCGGCTGTGCATGAAGGAGTAGGTGGTTCGTTGTGGGGACTGGGGACTCAGCTGTGCATGAAGGAGAGGAATATGATATAGAAAAACCAAATACAGAACCACCGCACAGACTTTCGTCGGAGTAGACAACTCATCTGTTGTGGGAATAAACTTCTAGTCTCGCTAGAAAAAGCTCGTGGGGCCTCAAACCGCTTGGTTCATCAATTACGACGCAGCTCCAAGGAAGCAGCCCTACGACGACGACTAAAGTATGCAGGCCCACCGCCCACTGCATTAATTGCTCTCCGCCCATAAGGCAGTAGTCTTCACTATTCTTTCTCCTTTGTCCCCTATAGTTTGATTGAATTGTACTCAAATAAACAGATATCAGAGGGGGAGGGCTCATCTGGGCTAGACAAATGTTTCACCCCCAAAACAATGGTCTAATCGGGTCGGGGTTTCTATGCAATATGTAACTGAAAATGATGTGGATCTATGCTTCATTTTAAAAGGGGGCGTTCAATAACATGAAAATATTTTTGTTTTTAAAATTGCCACATCAGCAATAAAATTAAAAGTATGTTCTTGAATTCTATTTTTATTTTGAGAGGCAAAATTCTTTCAATAAATAATAAATGTTTTTGTAACTATTAAAATAATGGTTTTTAAAATACAAACAAATTTTGTAGGGTAGAATTATAAGATTTATAGGAACATGGTATTAAACAACCATATGAAAATGTGGTTTTAAAATCATCAGAATTCAATAATATGTCTTTGGTTTCACTTCTGAAAACAAAAAGCATATTCACAAGCAAAAACATGTTTTTTGTGTTTATGTTTTGAGAAACAATTTGCTTTTAAATGAGAGATATATAGTTTTGATTTGTTTTTGGAACCAACAACAAAAAAAATAGTTCGCATCGAAGAACACCCCCACTAAAATAAAATATTTACCTATTTCTTGTAAACAAAGATAAAGAGAAGTGAATAGAAAAAAACACAGAGATTTATATGGTTTGGCTTATAGCTTCAGTCTACGGGCAAAGGAGGAGCAAAAATCACTATAGAATTAACAATGGTGAATAGTATAAAACTTTGCACAATTTCTCACTCATATAAAACCCTAAACCCCAAATACACTCAAGACACTCGACTCCTCTCTCAAGCCCAAAAAAATGTATATCAAGGAAAACCCCCAAACTACATAAATCTTCATATTTGGATCGAACCCATAAGCTGAATATGAATCAAGCCCGAACTACTGCAGGGGCTCCACCCCTCACACCCTGTGGTAACAGCCTAATACTTACACTTCCACCATAAATCACTATAAAATTTTGCCTTTATTCTTTTCACCTTAGGCTCAGTTTAGAAGAGTACGAATGTAAATATATACGGCACAAATATATACAAAATAATACAAAATACAAGGTTTTGCACTCTACAAATTTGTATTTGTACTCTTTCCAAATTAAGCCTTAATTCAAAATGGATCATGAAGTAGATAGTAATAAAGAATTCAAGGCACAAACATAACAACTATTTTTCGAAAAGTACACATATTGAGGAGTTGTAATGCTATTAGTTGCAACCAAAATGAATCTAAAAATGACTACTCGTGATTTTCCACCCACAAACTGTTCCCACATCCTACATCACCACTGCCATGTATTGGGAACATCTCCCCATGAATGACAAGGGAGATATTCCCAATGTGCTGCTGTAATATCCTATGGGTAAGGAAGTGGGAACAACTTGTGGGTAGCAGATTTGAGCACGAAAATGACAACAATAAATAAAAAGTAGAAAATTAATTATATATAGTGTTTATGCTCAATATGCTTAATACAATAATTAATTCCAATCATCTTATTTGTTGTCCTTTTGTGCATTCCAAGCCCTTTATGGTTTATCCAAGGTTTTCGAACCGTCATTGACCTGGACGGTCGAACCGTTTGGCCTGGGAATCGTCCAGGCAATCGGTTCCGTTTTACCCCAAATCAGGTACTTGGCCAAAAACCTTTGAAAAAGTCAACAACAACCTATTGACCCAGGCAATCGAGCCACTGACCTATTGACCCGTTCAATGGTTTTTGACCATTTTTTTATTTTTTAAATTTGTTTGTCAGAACAGACCGTCCATTCGAACCGAATAGTCAGACCGTTGACCTGAAAACTAGTGGTCAAAACGATTATGTTTCCGAGTCATTTTTTAAAACGTTGGGTTTATATATAACTCACCGATTTGAGGAGTATTTCATAGAAAATTAATTATCAATCAGATGGAAAAACCACTCAATCTTTAGGAGGCAGTCCTAAACCATTTAAGATGAAATAATTTCATTCTAATTTGACATGGCAATGGAATTAATGAATAAATTGAGAGTTCAATTGTGGTGCATTTATTAAATTAGTTATACTTTAAATCCAGATCTCAACCAATTATGTTAAAGTCTGCTTAATTTTTCATTCATTCACATTTCATAATCCATCTTCACCTTTAAAAAATGTGTAGTTTTAATCATGTTCAACCAATCATGCGTTTGCTGGGATGCACCATAAATGATCATATGAAATGGAATCATTATTAGGATTTACCAAATTCATCAAATGATTTTTTTTATTATTAAGAATCATTATTTCAATTGACTTGCAAACAATCAAATAATTTTTCTTTAAATCTAGTAGTTTAATATTTAAACAATAGAATCTGTCCAAAGCACAAACAAACACTTCAGTAGTTTGAAATGGGTATTCTCTAGATGATCTACTTTAGTAAAAAGACAACGTGTTCAATCTAACAACCTGTCAATTGAGCAAAGCCTCTAGATCACTAAACTATTCAATTTCCTGCTCGATGTCATCTTCATACCCCACTATTAATCCAACATTTTAAAAAGCGCTTGGTTTCCGAAGCTTCTCCATGAACTGAGGGAGGTGAAAACCCACATGGAATCCTTTGGATCACTAGCTATTCTCGCCCGTCTAACACTCCCAAGTCTGACCAGAGCTCTCATGGAGGGGACCCAGAAAACCTAGCAAAAATACAAAAATGCATGGGCTGGATGAATATGGTTGATGTTCACTTGCGTGTGACATGCGACCAATCCTGAGGATTTACCACTTGCCATCTCACTAGAGTTCTGAGTTCATTGAATATCGCATCTCCATGTGGATACAACAAGACAGAAAGTTTCTCTTGAGTAGATTTGTTGAATTGATCCATTAAAAATCATTTTCTGACATAAAATACATACAATGATAAGAGTATGTGTATACATACCACATGTTGGGGAAGACTAAGGGAAGGAATTTGAAATTTCTATTCTGTTTTATTGAAAACAACAACTTCATCAGTATAAAATAAAATCACCCAGAAAGTAAGAGAAACCAGTAGAGCATAGAATCAAATATTGAGGCAACCCTACTTGTTACGCAGCAAGCGTACATCCAAGATTTCCCACCTCTTGTCTAAAAGAAAAAATGAAAAAAAAAAACAAGAAAAGATCAGACCTTGTGTGGCACAAACCCATGTGTGCCCAAGAATCCTCCCAACCCCATTATTTGCTGAGTTCCCTTTTTATACTTCTGCTTTTACCAATGCTTATCTCACCTCACGCCCACCTCCTAGACATCCTCTCTCTATATATAAACTCGAGTCCCAGACAGCTTTTCTTCACTCTCGTCTTTTAATTCCTTCATAGTTTGGGATCGAAATCCGAGATGGGTTCACGATTCCAAGCTTTGTTCTCTGTGATTTGCTTTCTTCTGCTGTTCCTAAAGCAAGCAAGAACAGAGCAGTTTTATAATGAGAGCAGCTTGAGTAATATAAAGCTAGCGGGTGGCTGCAATTTGTTCCAAGGGAGTTGGGTCTACGATGCTTCGTATCCTCTCTATGATTCTTCGAGCTGTCCCTTCATAGATCCAGAGTTTGATTGTGAAAAGTACGGTAGACCCGATAGGCTCTATCTCAAATACAGGTGGAAGCCCAACAGCTGTGAGGTTCCGAGGTATGTAACAATCATTCAGTACATCCTTGGAAGCTGCTTTGTTTTTACCTTTTTGTTGTTATCGTTAAGCTTGTGCTAGTACCAGAGGTCTCTGTTTCTTCTCCGCCGTGAATTTGCAGAGACAGAGATGGAGCTATGTTGTTTTGATTAAACTGTCCTTCGGTTCTGTAGGTTTAATGGGTTGGATTTTCTGAGGAGATGGAAAGGGAAGAAGATAATGTTTGTGGGTGACTCTCTGAGTGTGAACCAGTGGCAATCGTTGACATGCTTGCTTCACTCTTCCGTGCCCAACGCCAAGTACACACTGACCAGGAACGAGCCGCTCTCCTCAGTAACATTTGTGGTGAGTTACTGGGTTTCTCCTTTTCCATTTTCTTCTTTCAAATGGAGACTCGAGACTTGAGAGTTGAGATCAACTCAACTCATTTCAATTCGTTTTTTCATTAATGAAATGAGTACTTGCAGTAGTTCGTATATTTTTTTGTTTATTTTCTGTTCAAAAGATTTGAATCATCTTAGCTACCTCGGTGGCTTTTCTCTAGACGGGATAAAATTTGATAATAATTGACAACAAATTCAGAGAAGACTCGCATGGGCTCATCATTTGTGATGCACGCAGTATCATAAAAGCAACAGAGCAATTCCAGTTCTGGGTTTTATGTTTAAATTTTACTGAATTTTGGGTTTGAACAGGGTATTTGAAATGAAATAAGGTGAAAATCTTAGCCTTTTTCGAGGAATTTCAATTAGAATTTAACCTAACTTCACTTCGGTCGTTGCGACGATAGTGATTTATCATTGTTTTTTTTTTATTATTATTTCTTTCTTAATCTTCCTTCGATGAATAAGGCAACAAGCTGGACTGAAGCATGCAGTATCTTGGTTACTAGTGTTGTCCTTCCGCTGAACTGAATTGGAGACAGTTAAGCATAGAAATCCACGACATTTCAAATTCAGAGGTTCATGGTCTTTCCATCCAAGAAGAGCTCTTATTATTTAACCCTTCCTTTTCTTTCTTTTTTTTTTTCTTTCTTTTTCTTTCTAATGCTTTTTTGAAAACCAAGTGAGAATTTTCTTGCCATTTATAATAAAACAAATTAAAAGGGGTATAACACAAAGTTTTTGCAGTAGAAGGAGCAGAATAATAGCTAAAATCTTTCAATCCTAGAAAGAAATTCAGTGCACTTTCACATAAACAAATTCAGCCTATGAGAAAGAACTATTTAACTCATGTATATTAAGCAAAATTTCCAAAAGGGTCCATGGAATTCGATTCCATACTCCACTACTGTAAATCTATGCCTAAAGGTTTAGACTCTAGAGAATAGAGATATATAAATTCCTTGCTTCCCTTTGTTCACTTTTGTCTTTTAACAAAGCAAAGAAGAAAAAAAGGTTAATCAAAATAACAAAAAGGAAAGAGAACAATTTGATTCTTTGAATCTAATTGGATGTTGTCCCAAAAAAAATTCAAACTGGATGGGGTTAGAATAGGAGTGAAATTAAGTTCCCCCTTTTCGAAAGTTAGAAAAACTATGGTGTGCCATGGTCCATGGAACAAATAATTCACCAACGTTGAAAACTTGGGTTTGGGGTTTTGGATTGTGCGATGTGGGTCCCAAGAAATGCATGCAGCCCATGTGATTTTAGTGGTGATGAGTAACCACCGTCCCATGTGGCCATCTGGGGTTTACTTAAGTAACAATACTCTGCTATTTGACGCATTAACAGAAATTAACTGTCAAAATAACTGTTCTAACAGAATAATAGGTACGAGGATTTATAAGGACTGTAAATTTAGGAGAACTTTTTTGTGATTTTTTAAGTCAACAGGGGCAATTTGAAGCTTTGTGGCAACACTTTCTTCACGGAATCGGGACCCCCACCTACTTTCTTTCCCACGGCTGTCAGTTTATGATTTTCTCTGTGGCCACCCAAATAACGACAAGATCTCTTCGGAACCACGAAACTACCCCTATTCTAGCTTCGAAATAACGAAGATGCCACTAATTCATGAGTCATGACTAATGATTATCCGGATTCTAGAATCAGTTGCATCTGAGATTTCGTCTATACCAGATCCAGATCCAGATCATATGGTGGTGATCATCTTGGTGGTCCCATCTAGTATCCTTCCTTTGTACTTAGGGAGCTGAGCAGGATTACTGCTATGATGTTTGACAGGACTACGGAGTTACGGTGTTGCTATATCACACTACATACCTAGTGGATATTGTTCCTGAAAAAGTTGGCCGGGTTTTGAAGCTGGACTCAATCGGGGCCGGTAATGCATGGAAAGGCATGGACATGTTGATCTTCAACACGTGGCACTGGTGGACCCACAGAGGAAGTAGCCAACCGTATGATCTATTCATCATCAAACCCGTTTATTTCACGTTGATTGGCTTCCTTTATTTCCTTTGTCTTTTCCCAAATAAATCTGCACGAAAGGTGGGATATTGCAATGTGATGATTTGTGCTTGATTTGCAGGTGGGATTACGTACAAGACGGAGGTAAATTGTACAAAGACATGGACCGTCTGATGGCATTTTATAAAGGGCTGACCACTTGGGGCCGATGGGTCAACGCGAACGTAGACCCCACCAAAACCAAAGTGTTTTTCCAGGGGATCTCTCCCACCCATTACCTGTAAGCATTATCCCATTTGATGTGATAGCACTAACTGTAAAACTGCTACTCTCCCTACTCCCCGTACCACACTATCATAAAATTGGGTGCCCAGCGGCCCGGCCCATTATTCCGGGGGCCTCTCACCAAGGACGTCAAAGAACCTTAGGTGCTGTTTGGAAATTTTTCAAGTACATTTTTTGACAGCCCAATAGATCAGAAAGATGCATTAAGTTCTTAAGGTCTTATCTTTAAAGACTGTTTTGTAAGCATCTTGATTTATTGGACTGTTGAAAATTGATTCAAAGGCTATTTCAAGCACCGAAAGACCAAAAGTTTCATTTGAAACTTCCTGAGTTTTGCCATTTTGGTCTTTCTTGTGCTTGTCTTTGGGTCTTCTAGTCTACAAGATGCCAAATGAAAAAAAAAAAAAAAGACCATTTTTTGAATTCCCTTAACCGGTAGGACCCAGGGCCCCCCAGCCAGTGCACCGAGGCTCCCGCCAATGCAGGCTCTGGGGAAGGATCGTTGTACACAGCCTTACCTCTGCAAATACAAACGAGAGACGAGTCCGGATTTTTTGCCTATACAAATTCTGCTCATGTCTATCCGCATAACATCGCAATTACACATGAAGAATATCTCATCCTCCTACATGGTATTATGTAGGGGGAGATGTTCCCAATTCACGGGAGTGGTGTGTTGTGGGTAGACATGGGCAGATGATCCGGAATCAATATAGAGAAGCTGTTTCCAAGATTTAAAGCCTGGTCAGTGGTCACCCAAGTAGAAATGGAGAAACCCAACCATTGCACCAAGGCCCATCCTCACGCACATCTTCTTTATAATGTGGTGTGTATTGGAAGCCCAGGCCCACTAAATTGGACCTAAAATGCTTATTCCTTTTGCCTGCTAAACTTATCTAAAGTACAAATGAAGAGAAGTAAACTGAAGTGAGTGTTTGAAAAGCAGAGGAAAAGATTGGAATCAAGCAAGGAGGACTTGCAGCGGGCAGACACAGCCGCTGTTGGGGTCGAGCTACCCGGCAGGTACGCCTCCGGAGGTGATAGTTGTGAACAAAGTGTTGAGTCGACTAAGAGTACCAGTGTATCTGCTGGACGTGACCAGGCTCTCACAATTGAGAATAGATGGACACCCGACGACCTACAGTGGCAACCACAAGGGCTTGGACTGCAGCCACTGGTGCCTGCCTGGACTCCCCGATACCTGGAACCTGCTCCTAAATGCAGCTCTCATCCTTTGAACACAAGGACCAGCAGATGGCAATGTGTAAACCCTAAACAAAATCTCATTATTTGTACACTATTTCAGTGCTGGGTGAAGTTTTCCTGTGATTTTTCTTTTTATATGTTGCTTGTAGTGGAATGAATATGGGCAATAAGAGGGATGGTGCACAAAAGAAAAAGAAAATTGTAAAGTAATTTGTTCAATCCCTGTAAAAGTGCATATTGGAATTATTATCAATTTCATTTGCAGCAGGAGAAAGTGTATTGAATATTAGATATTTTTTCAAGTCAAAGAAGTATTGAATGATAAGAGGGATGGTGCACAAAGAAGTAATTTTCTTGTAGCAATCTCATAATAGGAGTTTTTACCTATTTATTGTGGCTTTTGGGTTCCACAGTCTAAGCCCATTGACCATAGTTGCATCGTGCCATAAGGATGGAGGTGAGGTACATATAACAATGACGACTTTCTTCTAGGCTCTGTTTGGAAAGAATACAAACACAAATATCTACAGTGCAAATATACAAAATACAAAGTTTTGCATTCTATATTTGTATTTGTACTTGTTTCAAATTCAGCCTAAAGATTCAGTTGTAAATACAAATAATAGACTTAGTTTGGAAGGAGTATAAATATAAATATGTACACTACAAATATGAACAAAATAATACAAAATACAAGATTTTATACTCTGCATATTTGTATTTGTACACTTTTCAAACTGAGTGCAAATACAAATATGTATAATGAAAATGCATACAATGCAGGAAATGAAAAGAGTTAACAAACCTTGGTAAGGAGGGATCAAGAAAAAGACCATTCCAAAATCCCAAGTGTTGTCTGATTTCTCAAAGCAATGCAAGAGACCAAGCTTGCCATGATTAATCTCATGCTCTGTGAAAGAAACAGTAAGGAAGAACTTCTCCTTCCACCATACTGACTCTCACAAATCATGTCATTGCTACATTAGAGAGGCTCCCATCTAAAGTCTTGGGAAGGGTAGAGACGATATGGCCCTAACTCTTTTTTGTTGGCTCTCACTCTTGAACTTGCATTTTCATGCTTGGTAGTCCAAAATTTTACAATTTCACCAAGTAATGTCTTCTTTAAATTATATTAATAAATTAAACTAAAAATAATCAAAATATTGTATTATTATAAAATAAATTATGTAAAACTTGAAACAATGAATCTTTAGTAAATGTACTACCTTTCATTCAAACCAAATTTACTAATGGACTATATAAGTTTTTTATGTAATGGGATACCATTGGCTGCCCTACAAGAAAACAACATGCTGAAGAGAAAAGTCATTCTTCTATAAATCTTTGTTAATGAATCACAAGGATCAAAATTTCATAACGTATGAGCCCGTATTGGTCAGTATGTATCGTATCCGTGACCCAAAGATTCACTATTATATAGACTACTTTGGAATTTGACCTGTTTCAGGGGTAAATAGGCCTTATACTGACTCCCTTGAACAGGTTTGAAAAAAAATATAAAGAACATATCCATACCCAATACACCAGATGGGGCGTATTGAGCAGAAATCATGGTTTTGAAAACTGGACCATACCAGATGATCAGACCTATTGGCTCAATGACCAGTCATAGGTCTGGGTTCGGTTTTGGACTCCTAAACCATCTAACCCAGATTTGGATCAAACAATCATACCGTTTGACCTGGGAACCGGTGGCCAAAATGGTTCTGTTTCTGGTCCAGTTTTCATAAACATGAGATAAATGCTTTAGACTTTCATCTTGGCTCATTTGCTAGGTAGAAATCAACTCTTGGTTAGCCTACCATTACTCATTAGTTGTCACTATCATGTGATCATGCATGACACTAAGGCTTAGTTCGGAAAGCGTACAAATACAAATATGTAGAGAGCAAAACCTTATATTTTGTATGTATTTACACTGGGTAGAAATCAACTATTGGTTAGCCTGTCATTACTCATTAGTTGTCATTATAATGTGATCATGCATGATACTAAGGCTCAGTTCAGAAAGCGTACAAATACAAATATGTAGAGTGCAAAACCTTGTATTTTGTGTGTATATATTTACATTATGCATACTAGTAATTTAGCACGTGCGTTGCACGTATGAATTTTTTTCTATATTAATTACTTGAATTTTAGATATATCATATTAAGATATAAATTGAAAATTAATAAAAGTAACAATATGATTAAAAATAAACTTAAATACTTGTACTAAATGCACACGTGCAAAAATTTTATTATTATTATTTGATGCTACTCGATCCAAGGTGGTGCACGAACCGAGAAGAGCAACCAGAAAATCCTTGTCAACAAGGCGAAGCCAAGATGGAAGGATGGAGCTGTGCTTCAAGACCTATGATCAAGAAAGGGGAAGTCAGAGGCCGGAGGAGTTATCCTTAGGTAGGCACTTCGACGCTCAAGTCAGTAGAAGGTGGTGGATGGTCGGGCCGAGCAATAATGGTGTTGGTTTGAGCAGAGTAAGAGTAGGGGTGCTAGAAGTCAGAATCCCTCACCTTGAGCGGGAGATACCTTTTTATAGATGAAGGTCCGTGTCCTGATCAGAGTTGGCTCCTGGGGTTGCCGGGATGAGGTTGACCGTCGAGGTCATCGGGATAGAGTCCTATTCCTTGGCGGAGTTGTGGTGTATCCGGAAGCGTGTCGTTAAACACCCCGGAACACCAGTTTAAATATTTATAATTTTTATCGTTTCTCAAACAACTACTAACGTAGTAAATGGGTGAGAACGGGTCATATCCACAAGGAAGCAAGTGAAAAATTAATATATACTTAGATATAGACAAGAGAATGCAATTGGGACTGGCAAAAAATATGAAAATAGAATCTATTATTGCTGAAATTAAATGTTTTGAATTTAAACAAGACAATAAATAAAAATCAGAATTTAATAAAGTATGGGAATCAACAAACGAAATAAAAGAAATAAATAAAAAAAAAATGATCCAGAATCCGTATCTGGTGGCGATAGTTGCAGATCGGCTAGATAGCTTGTAGAAACCCCTCTTGACAAGAACTGGGCGTCCGTCCTTTCCACAAGCCTCGAACCCCTCGAGACACCTTAGCCTTGAACTGAACGAATTCAGATCTACAAAACAGAGAAACAAACAAGAATTAAATCTAAAAGATTGCAAAAGTAAAAATAACAAAAAAGAAAATAAAGAAAAGAAAAGAATGGTTGATCAGATCCAGTGGCGGTAGTTGCAGATTGGTTGTACAACTTGCAGGAACCCCACCTGACAAGAACTGGGCGTCTTTCCCTTCTACAACCCTTGAACTCCTCAAGAAACCTTAGCCTTGTTAACTGGGTGAATTGACCAACCCCTTCTACAGGGCCCCTGGGACCCTGTTTATAAAGAAGGGTGGACACAACTAGAAATAGGGAGAAAGATGGGGGCCGCAACTGGGATTTAGCAAAGTTAGGGATGCCCTAGGGTTTCTAATGGATGGATAAGATGGTTTTGGGGTGATCCTATGGCTGAAAATGGAAGGAAAGGGCACCCAATATTATGTAGGGATGAGATTTGGGTGCCTAGAAATGGAGGGTGTATATTAGGACATCTAGGGTTGAAGGGTTATGATTAAAAGAATATGTGGTGCCCTATATTGAATGGTTGGGATATAGGATGGAGGGAGTGGCTGAGATTTAATGGTAAGGAGTTGAATGGTGATGGTTAGCAGAATAGGTGGCTCTTAGGGCTAGAATGCTAAAAAGAGAGTATCCTACAATGGATGGTGGAGATTAGAAGGGATGGAAGGTGAAGATTTAGTAGTTAGGGGTGGCTAGGGTTTGTTAAGAGTGAAAAGAATGGGTTAAAAGGCGCCCTAGGGTTTGCTAAGGTGTGGGGAGCATGCTAATACAGTAGGCAGGGTGCCAAACTGGGTTTAGCAGCTAAGAGGCACCCTCCTACTTTCAGTTTTTCACAAAACACCCCCTCTCTCAGTTGGACTTCACACCAGCTTCCCAAAATCTGCATTTCAGCCATGAGAACTTCCCAATTTTTCCTAGAATTTGTATAAAGACCGCAACATTGCATTTAACTAGGAAAATGACACATCTTGACTATTATAAGGCCAAAAATACCCCTGAATTGAAGCCCTTAAGGCATCAAAATGCAAAGTTATCACACCCCCCAACTTAAACATTGCTAGTCCCTTAGCAATGCAGCCTTATAATTACACTGATCATAGAAATCTTTCCCATCTCAAGATCCTCCCTAATAAAATTAATCAAGCATCCTGATTCCAGCATTTTCAAACTCTATATAGATCGGTATTGGGTTTTAGGGGTAAAACCGTCTTGTTTTGAATATTATAGAAACTTGGCTTAAAAATCTTATTTACCCTTTTATTTGCAGACTATCTTGATTAGTTGAGATTGATTTTTAAAATCAAACATGTATTTTTCTTATAATTTCTGATAGTGCATTTCTACCCCTAAACTTGATTTGCACACTTTTTTTTATTGCTACCTTTCACCATTTGATGCGAATCTCGACATTTGTCTTAGGTGAAGAAACTCGGTTACTAAGTGTTAGGTGAGTGTCTTTGGCATTCCCTTTTCCGTTTGATGCGAATCTCGACACTTGACTTAGGTGAAGAGACTCGGTTACTAAGTCTAGGGTGTCCATTGACCTTTTATTCTCTCTCTCACTTGTGGGGCCATTTTGAACCATGAACCCAATTTTCCATGTGGAAGATTCTTTGGTCATCACTCATCGTTCTTTGCAAGATAATTAACCCAACTAGCAGACCCTCTTCCCACTTTTAATATCATGGCTATTTCTATTTGAGATGTTGCCACATCATTGCCACCTAGGATAGGCATTTTGAGTTTGAATCAATTTTCTGTTTGGTTATGTAGCTATTTTGAAATAAAACACAACCATTAAACATCTCTACCAAAAACAATAATCAAGGGATGTTATGGAAATGTAGAGATATATTCTAATGCTTTACATTCTTGCAAAGATGGGATAAACTATAGAAGATCTTCCAACTTGTGAACCTTGTCTTTAGGGTAAGATGACGAAACAACCATTTGCGGGTAAGCCTGAAAGATCTACGGGCACACTTGACCTGATACATACTGATGTATGTGATCCCATGAACGTTAGCACACACAACCAGCACTGTTATTTTATAACTTTCACCGATGGTTACTCTCGGTATGGTTACATGTACCTAATGAGACATAAGTCTAAATCATTTGAAAAGTTCAAGGAGTTTAGACAAGCAGTTGAGAAACAGTTGGGGAGATAAATCAAGGCCCTTCGATCAGATCGAAGAGGCGAATATCTCTT